ACATTATTATCGGTGTTAATGCTGGTTCCCAAGTAAACGAAATTCTCCACTTTCTGGAAATTCTAACTGTCAATCGTGACCTGGGTGGTAAGGTGCGAATGCGCCGACTGTTTGTATGATGAGAGGAGATACTTCGTCTTGTCCTCGTTTACCACCAGGCCCATTCGCTCTGCTTCCTTATCCAACTTGGAAAAGGCAGAATAGACTTCGCGGTTTTTGTTACCGATGATATCGATATTATCGGCATTAGCCAGCAATTGCACGCTCTTGTCGTAAAATGTTCCTGAGCTGTTCAGTTCTGCAGCGCTTATTATCTTCTCAAAAATTAGATTAAATAAGTCACATGAAAGAGAATCGCCCTGTATGAAGCCCCGTTTGGTGGCTCGGAGGGGTCTTTCCCAATTCCAACGGAGCTGGTGGTATTGCTCTATGTCATTTTACACAGCCGTATCAGTTTGGCAACTCATTTAAGTGCTGTCGAAAGCGGCTTTAAAGTCGACAAATAGGTGAGTGTCGGTTCTTTTCTCGCGGGTCATTTCCAAAATTTGGCGTATTGTGAATACCTGGTCTATGGTGGATTTCCCAGGCCTAAAGCCACACTGATAAGGCCCAATCAGTTCACTTTCACACTCGATAAGACCTTGCAACCTATACTTGAAGGCTGATTCCACGGTAGAGCTCACTTAAATTTCAGTCGTCGGGCATGCGTTCATGTGACCATATTCTGCATAAGAGTTGATGCATGCACCTTATCAACTCCTCAACACCGTACTTGAATAGCTCAGCTTTGTAAGTTTTTCAGCCGCGTTATTGCTATTCGTACCTCGTCATGGTCAGACGGAGGAACATCGACTCCGTCATCCTCGGCTGGAGGCTCGGGTTATTCTTCTTCAAAACTTTCCGTGCTGCTACCACTCAGTAGTGTGGAAAAGTGTTCCCTCCATAATTTAAGTACGTTCTGAACGTCGGTAACTAGGTCGCCATTGTTGTTCTTACAGGAGTACGCCCTGGTCTTGAAACCTTCCGTAAGACGCCTAACTCTCTGCTAAAAAATTTCGGGCCTTCCTCCTATCGGCCAACATTTCAAGATCTTTCATCACACACAGAAAGTGAGTTGTCAAAATTTACGGATAGTTATCGAGCTTTAAAAATTTCTGGGTTTATCGAAATTTGTCATGTTAAAGGAAGTTATCGAGATTTATTGAATTATCAATTAATTTGTCGTGTTATCGTAATGCATGGAGTTCTTCCAACTTACACAGTTATCGATAATTATTGATCTACTGAAATCGGCTGATTCATTGAATCGAGGTTAATGGAGTTTTTAACTATATCGATTTATCGAAATTTCAAGGTTATATAAGCTTATCGAGTTATCACTGCTTATCGAATTTTATCGTGTTAACAGAGTGTAACGATTAATCGAAATTTTTCGATAGCTTTCGAAAAATTAGGGGCTGTTAAAACTAAAAATTTATAAAGGTGTACAAGGAATTAACATTTTTGAGTTATTGAAATTTATCGAGCCCTCGAATTTCATAGTTATTGAAATTGGTCTAGTTAACGAATTTTGTTGAGTTATCGAATTTTAGTGTTTTTGAAATTAATCGAATTATAGATATGTATCAAATCATTGAAACTTATCGATAAACTGGAATGTATCGGGTCAATTCTAAGTCCTGCCGAAGTCCTCCAAAGACAAAAAAAAGTTAAGTCACGTTTTAGTTCCAAAGCAGAAGGTTTACCGGTAAGTTACTTTGTACCGTATACGTTTTGCTACGTGTTAAGTTAGAAGACCCCTCCAAGGCTCCTAAAACTGTAAAAACTATCGACGAAAAACGTTGATAAATAACTAGAAAATGTTAAGCCTTTTTTGATTTTTAAGAAGCCTGCGGCGAACCATTGTCTAAACCTTTGGAGTGATGTGAAAGCGTAAAAAACGTTGCATGAGTGAGAATTTTTAAAAGATAGGACATAAGTTGGTAAAGTAAAATTGTTCTAAGCAAGGAAGCGATGCATTTTTGATCCGAAATGGCTTTTTAAAATTTTCCTTGTTCTGGCTTTTATTGCAATGTCTACCAAATGAAACGTGATAATTTTTACCTTTCGGTTCCGTTAGAATATATTTTGAAAAGAGCCGTTGCTACCGTAATTTTTTTAAAGAAAATTTTACATAAATATGCAAATTTCGCAATAATTCAATATACAATGCACTTACTTACTTTTTACAAATAAATGTTTTATTTTACTTTTTCAATATATTTTTCAGCTCCACCCACCTATGAGGAGGCGATGTTCATGAGTACCAATATAGCTGACAATGATACCAACATAGTCAGTGTGGATGCACCATTTACGCCCCGTTATCCTGTCTTCAACGTGGACGAGGCAAATTTGGCTTTAGGCGGCATGGGTTTGAGTCCACCACCTAATTTGCCACAAAAACGAAAACGTCGCAGAAGGCGATGCCGGGCGCCCGAAGCTGCTCCAATGGAGTTCCTAAAAGAGCGACCGCCAACGGAATCGCCGATACAAATATGAAATTAGCAACGAATTCGTACGTATTTACTTACGTATGAGAAAAAGTCTAGAAAAGCCAAAGTGCAATACATATCAATTAATTAAATATTTTACCACTAATTACTAATATAAATGTTATAACTTAAACTGATTGTAGCAAAATTTTTTCTGTACTCAAATGGGTAGGTACCACTTTTAAAACTTAAATATTTACCTAATAATTACAAACTCGGCCGCTGTGGTGTAGTGGTAAGCAGTGCGCCTTTCCACTCCACAATGCCTGGGTTCAAACCCTGGTCAAAGCAACATCGCAAAAATATAGAAAAAAAAGGTTTTTCTTAAGAGCGGTCGTCCCTCGGCAGGCAATGGCAAACCTCCGAGTCAAATTTTAACGATAAGATCTTGGCGTTATTCTGTTTGTATTTTAGCAATAAGTTTTCTAAAATTAAATGAAATAAAAAATATACATATTTTCTTTTTGAAATAATAAAATCTTAACATTAAAAAAAAATTAAAATTAAAAAAAATTAAAAATTAAAAGAAAACTACATAAAATTAATTCTTTTATTTTTTATTTTTTTATTTTTTAAAGTTTTGCTGTTTTAAAAAGTAAAATATACAAATTTTTTAATTTAATTTAATTTTTATAAATGTATAGATATATTTTTTTCTTTTAATTTAGTTTTTGAATTTTATGGCTTTACCAGCCAATTTCACGAAAGCAATTTAGGTTAAATACATGATTTGTTTAACTTTATTTAATTTTTAGAACTCTATATTTTTCTTCCTTGTTTTTGATGTTTTTTTTTCTTTTTATTTTCTTTTCTTTTAGTGTTTAGACTTTATTATTTTCAAAAGAATTTTTATTTTTTTTTAAATAAGTTCACTTTTTAGAAATCATATCATTTGATTTTAAGGATACTGTTTTATATTTCTTTTTTAATTTAACTTTTTTATAATTTTTGGAATGTACAGTTAAAAAAAATATATGTATATGTATATAGTTTAAATTTCATAAAATTTTTAGGAACTAATTCTACATATTTTTTATTTTAATTGGGCCAAATGCCTCTAAATTCTTTGCTGAGTTGGTTCAGCCGTCCTACGCGTTACAGGGAGCCTGTATTTATATATTTTAATATCTATTCATTTGTATTTCAACGGCTGAGGTAGCTCGGACCCACCAAACCATTTAACTTATTTCAAAAAAACAAAATATTTTTAATTTCATTTAGTTTTTATAAAGCTATTTTTATTATTTTTCAATTCATTCAATTATTTTTCAAACATTAAGACTATTTTTTTAATGAATAGTTTTTAATTTGTAGAACCTTATTTTATTTATTTTTTTAATATTTTCTTTATTTGTTTCCATTTTAGGTTTTATAAAAATACATATTTTTTAATTTTGCTCAATTTTTATAAACCTGTTTTATTTATCGTCGTTTTTAAATTTTATTTATTTCTTTTTTTTTATTTAAGCTTCTTTTAATTTTTAGATTATCATATGTATTTTAATAAGACATTTTATTTATTCCATTTATTTTTAAGAACTTTATTAGCTTTTCATTTATTATTATTATTTATTTAATTTTCTTTTCATTCACGGATTTATGATTTTACATACGTTCATATATTATAAATTTAAATACACTTTTATATTTTTTTAATTTCGTTTATTTTTTAGGAGCCTATTTTATTTATTTCTTTTTTGTATGAAATTTTTTTTTTTATTAATTTTGTATTTTTTACATAAAATGTTCCTTTAATTTTTTTATAAAGTAAAATAATTATTTCTTATAATATACTTTAATTTTCGAAGAACTTGTTGCTAAAAGACAAACGCAATAATGCTAAGACCTCCTCGTTAGTAATCAAAAATCTCTTTGCCATAATGCGCCTTCTCATTACCCTGTACACTTCCGTATCAAATATAAAGATAGCTTAAAAAAGCTATGTCTGTATGTATGTCGATTTCATATGACCGCGCAAGAAGTAAAAGCTCTCTATTGTTCTCGCCGCTCTCTGTCCCAAAAATTTCGATGTTTTGCAATTGGTCTTTACCTTTATGTGTTTTAATTGAGAGAGAAACTTTCCTATAAAATTCCTTGCTATAAAGGAAAGCTTGAAAGTCTCCAATTATGGCTGCATTCTGTCACCAAATTAGTTTTGTGTATGTTGGTAGCAAATGCCATAAATAAAGCTGCACAATTTCTCCTGCTTACAGAGAGAACAAAGAATCTGCACAATTCCTCCTGCAACGGAGCTCGTAACGGCAAATCTCCCTTTGCGGTAAGCTATCGCATGCGAACTGTAAATTTTATGGCATGCGGAACAATTATCGCAGAGATATTTTCTACGTGGGAAGTTCATCGCATGCTATAATTGGCTTAAAATTATTGGCCCGTAGTCATAGTCAAAATAAAGTCGACTTTAAAGTTAGTTGCAGCTTTTTGACACAATTTTCAATGGGATATCTGTCAAAAAAGCTGCAACTAACTTTAAAGTCGACTTTATTTTGACTATGACTACGGGCCATTATTATTGACACGAAATACCTACAGGTGTGTCACAAAAGAAAATCAAGAGTTCACACGATGCTTCTGTCTACTTGCTATTCTTTTATGTTTAACTTAAATTTTAAAAGATTCTACTACTTTTGTTGCAGCTTTGCAAATTTCTGAAAATTCAGTGTTTTCGAAGCGTATTCTCAGAAGTTAATCGCGTAAAGTTTTGGTTGGATCTATAGCTTAGCTGATTTTCCCTCTAGAAGCGAAATAAAAATGAATAAATCAAAAACTTGCATTAAATGATCACCTTGCTAATTATTATGCACAAACGTAATCACAATTTTTGTATATACAAACCTATGTATATGAGATAATCTCACGAATTGTTAAATTTTTCGTCGAAAACGTGTTTTTGTTCGAAAATGGTGTTACACACCTATCTTAGAAAATGCCTACTTACTTATACTTATTTTCAGTTACCAAACGATATCTCCTTTAACATTTTATTAAATTTAATGAATGATATGTATCTCATTTTGAAGGGGAGAAGCTCACGTACATGCGAAAAATAGTCACGCCGTTCAAATTTAGTTATTTATTAAAAAAAGGGGGTTTTAAAAAGCTGAAAGCACTGTATAAGGTAAATAAAGCGCGATGTCTTCCATAATACTTCATCAAATTGAATGTTTGAAACACCATTCTGAAAGACAGCCTCACCGCTTGAAGTAAAAACAACAATTTTTTAAACCGCTTAAAATTTTCGGGACTTAAATATATATCGACTAAAATATTGCAACGCATGCAGTGCAGGAAAGACATTTAAATGCACTTTTAACCAGAAGTGATAATAATGAAGAGGGTTGCCAACTATTTAAAATTTACATCTAAATATGTGTTAAACAAAGTTACTTACGTAATACCGAGCTTAGCTCTAGAGTAGATTGTCCTATGTGAGCTGTCTTTTTGTTGTGTTTACAATATGTTGGATGGGTTAGGTTAGACTGCTTTGCAAATTATTACCGGGTTTCTGTACAGGTGCCGAATTTGAAAAATGTATGATGGAATTATGTTTAAAAATACAGAATCAGCCTTATCATTAGTTTCTATTGACTACGGGTCGATGAAATATCTGGCTCGTACATTTCTTTTGCGAATATGGTTCGATTGATTCGAAAATAATTTCAATTTTTCGACATTGCACTTTCAGTGTTCGTAAACCATTCACCAATTAAATTTTGAAACATTGCCTCACGCAACCGCAATTTGTAAAGATTGGCGATTAGCAGCGTAAATCAAAAACCTCAGCACCGCGCCCAAGTTAATGCAGGACGACATCTAAAGGAACAAACACCTTAACAACTGAAACAAATTTATATCGTTGATAACTCTGATAACGAAATAGATCAGTATTGTGCTATTAAACTCCAAATCATTGGAAAATTTCAAGTACTTGCTCACGGACACAACGCTTAGGGTAGGTTATTTAAAATGGCAATGGAGGATATGCTTACTGACGACCACAAAACAATAATCAGAACAGATAAATGTCCCCCGGAAGTCATTAAGTGAATAGTTGATGAAAGTGTTGTACCAAAATATTCCAACAAAAACTTTATTTTTGGCAAGACGGAGTTCGCCGGGTACGCTAGTATTATTTAAAAGTAATTCAATATTGGTGTTTGAGATTTTTACACAGTATTCCTTATGCACATATGTATGTAATAATAAAAATTTAAAAAATGGAATTTTTGTTTCCCAAATCATAGTCATCTTTTAGTCAATGTAATTTTTATCATTTGTTGACATACCAGTTTTATTACACTATTATTTTTGTTAGGGCATATATAGCGCTGCGACTTAGCTAGATCAATTAGATTATAACACTAGTCTTGTTCGTTTTGGCAAGACGGGCATTTTTTTTGTTTAATTTTAACATTTTGAAGTACATATCTTAAATTACTGAAATTAAAAATATCGCAAAAATTTCAAAAATTACAAAATAGCTGCGGCCATACATGTAATACTATTTGAAAACTTCCCAAAATAATAAAAAAAAATTATTATTATTTTTTCGAGTGACAATGAAAAAAATTACATTTTGGTACTTTTTCGCCTAAATCAACATTTAAATGCTAACATTGTTTAAATACTTGATTTATTTTTTAACTTACTGGCTTCTGGAATTCCATAAATTCGAATAAATACAAGAATAATGCTTCAGCGGTTTTTTGTCTGCCGAGAGAAATGACTGACACAAAAAAAACAACTCGCGATATTTGCTCATATCTGAAAAAATTTTACTTTCATTCATTTTATATTACCTTGTCCATGCCTACGCAAAAACCGCATTAACAAAAACCCGACTTGACTCAACACATATTTATTAATGGAGTGTCTATTCGCACTTCGCCAGTGTCACCAGTATCGTCAGTGTCCCCAACGTCCCCAGTGTCTCCAGCGTTTCCATATTTTTTTTTTTATATAGAAAATCGCCGCAGACACAATCGGCCAATTTTTTTTATCCTTTTTGCTATATGTTAAAATTTTTTTATTGAAAACTTTTTGAGTACTATGATCCCACTCCGAGAATATAGTAGGGT